TTCAAAAAATACCAAGATGCTAGCATAAGTAAGCAAAGTATTTCTTCTATATTAATGTCATCATATAGTTATTTGTGTTATGATCAACTATAGCTCAGGCTATAAAACAAATTAGAACAATAATTTTTCACCTTACCATAGGGTGGTCCAATGCAATAGTTTACAGTTCCACTTTGCCATTTCTTTTTAGTGTTAACAAAACTATTTAAGGCTACAGTACCAGTAGTATTTACTGATATGTGCTTTACTTCAGGCTAATGTTTCTCTTGTTTGCCAACAGTCTATTTTAAAGCCACTTAATGAAAAATCCAAACATCTAAAGTTACATTTTAAATGTGTGTCATGGGCTCAGTTGACTCCTGCGTTGAAAAGGAATAAGGAAAAGCGATGCACCATCCGCTACCCAAGAGCATGCAACCCCCTGTCTGCAAAGACCACTAGTATTTTATTGCTGCTTCACTTCCCAGACACTAAACACTCCACTGCTGTCAGACTCAGCCCAAAGTAACTTGATATTTCATGTTTTTTGGGGGCCAGATTTTGCTCCCTCCCAGTCACCAAAAGGGGGAGACACAGCGAAGCTTTGAGGGGGCAGAAGAACAGGTGCCCACAATTTCACCTGTCTGCTCTGTAACCCATGCTCTGGGAGCTATGTTACACTTCAGCTCTAATTGTAGCCACATTTGCAGCGATTTCACAGGGATGAAGTAGCAAAGGGGAAGTGGACTCAAAAGTCCACTTTTAGAAGTGAGCTAATTTAATTGCATGTGACCATACCCTCACATGGAGCGACATAAAACACGGACAGGAGAACCAGCAGCTTACATAGACACACACACACACAAGAGCAATGGAGCTTCAGCAAGCCGTAGCACTACAGCCTGTTTATTCTAAAAGCAGGAGATCATAAAATCAGGCAGTATTTTCAAAAGTACCTGCAAGCTGCATCCTGCAAACAGACAGAGCTGTGTCAGTGCTGATGATGGGAGGGGACTTGCAGGTCAAGAGACACAAAATAGTTCAGCAGGCACATGTGATATATTTAGTGAGGCCATTGTTTGTTTTATTTAGAGAGCGAATTGAGGATTTTCCAAACTGCAGCGCCCCTGAGGTATTTTATCAGGTGTACAGTCCGCCATGTGTTACACATTAGCGAGCTGAAGGGAATGCTGCTTGCAGATACAACCTATAAAATGTTTGGAGGTTGGAACTTCAGAGGACAAGGGGTCGACAATCGCTCTCTTCAGAGCTGGTGGTGGATATGTGGGAAACACTTATATGCAAATGAAATGGCCTCAAATTACAGCCCAAATTGCCCCTATATCGTTAGAGAAAATAAGCATTAGGAATCTCTGGCATTGCAGTTTGCCATAAGAATATTAATGCATGGAAAAATAGGTGTTTACTGCTGCAGCCAATTATAATAAGAAGAGTTTAAGGAAGACGGGGGAAAAAACAGCTAATAAAGTTTCTGAGGCCTTCCAAACTGAGCTGTGCCTGTGCAGTGTGGTTACTGAGGGGAGCATACAGATATGCTGGTGGTGTCTGCAAATGCAGGGCGCAAGGCATGATGGGACTGAGGCCTGACAGAGGGGGAGGGCGGCCATTGTGCAGGTGGAAAAAAATAAAGTTTACTGTTTCTGAAATGCAATGAATATTTCATAGTGAAATGACCATTTGTCACTTGTAGGTCATGTGACGAGCGTGTGTGTGTGTGGTGACCTCGGTGAACATGGGCAATGGAGCACCAAAACCCAGTGAGTGAAACTCTGCATGGGCCTGTCAGAGCAGCTTGTAATGTGCCACTTGGCTTTGTTCATCTATTAACAATCGCATTTTGGTGCCAGGCTCTTAGTGTGTGTGTGTATACGATGTCGACCTGCCTTGAATACATTAACTCAAGTGTCTTTTTGTTTCTCTCTTTTTCTTTTCTTTTTAAAGAACAGTCAACATATTTATATCTTACAGCTTTGGCATTTTTCCTTATTTTTTTAAAACAATATGTTGATTTTTTTTTCCAGTATAGGATCTCAAACGCTAACAAGTTCATTGTCATGTCAGGAAACGCAGCAGGCCGCTGTGATGCCTTTAGGAGCGCTTCGTGAGTGTCTGCGTGTTTAATCCTGCTCTTAAACGCCTCACCTCGTTCAAAATCTGAGCTGTAAATAACTTAAGGATAAAGGACGCGTTATTCACAAAGATCGCCACTTCTGCCCAGCTGTGTTCATGCCCCTGAAAGTCGGTAGACTAGTTAGTCCGAGTCAATAACCGCTGACTGTACCCGATGGCAAATTGGAAATTGCTGGGTTCGGAAAACATAATCATCCGAGCACATCGTGGCTGCAAACGCCACTCCTTCGTTATTAATAATAAAGAAAGAAACTGAATCCGAGGCGTGGATGTTTAATTTGTTATTATGTAAGCTATTTGAAGAGTGATCGTATGGTAATTGCTCATTAGTCTTGTATATTTATTGCTGCACCTTATGTCGAGGCCAGGGGAATTGTGCGGGGTTCATTCTCTCGTTTCAAGGATCAATTTCAGAGGCAATTTGTGAAACAGGACAGATCAAGTTAGGCCTGACGTTGGGTCTGTAACGGGGTCGGCCTACAGGTGCCACCTCACAGACATTCATTTTGCCCCCGACGAGATGCTCTTCGAAATGAAACTCCTCTGGCAGACGACGTGTTGACAAACTATCCAAACCCATCCTTTCAGAAGCCACTTCTTCCGACTTAAGAGATTCCAGCTCGATCAATTATTGACTTTGCGCGCTAATACCGAGCCTGTCCTCCGCTTATTCCCTCCCTCGGCCACTATTCACATTAGTGGTGTCAGCGGACGTAATTATACCTACTAATTGCAGATTAAAGGTTTTGGGTCAGTGGGGTCACTTGATAGGACCGACTACTCTTTTCAGTGGTGGATAATCGTTTCACGTTGCGCGCTAAATGTTTGATGCAGCGGGAGCTCGTTTCCAAATTGTCCAAAATTTACGCAAGAACCAAATTGCGCGTGGACTTGTGATGATTTATGAGGGAGTTTAGCCCCCGGACCGAGAGGGGCAGTTTTAGTTTAGATAAGAGGGTCACCAAAGGTCCCCACAATTGGCCCTTAACGCACAGCACGAGCGTCTGGGAGAAGGATCTAATACGTGAGGGCCCACTTCAACTCATAACGCGCGCACGCTGTTTGAGTTCTGTCCAAAGTAATTATATTCATGTGACCTTAGTTTCAAATTGCACCTGATCGTCCTCAAACAAATGCCAGGATCTGAAAAGAAGAGCGCCTTGAATTTCTCAGACGTAAAGACCTAAATATTACGGAAGCGGCATGCGCGCTTTTGTTAGGAAGATGTCTTTACCCAGACTGCTTTACAGAAAATAATCCCCCACTCCACCTCCGCCTACAGCTTTTTATTATTTTCATTTTCATTTTTTTATGTAGTAATATGCACTTTCAAAATAAAGAGTCTCTTTTAATTTTATTTAACAAATTAAAATACAATACACCCACTGGAAGCTTTTAATTTGGTGAAGCAGATTTTTGGATATTGTAGCTTAAAAAAAACAAAACGTAATTTCAAAAATAAGATCAAAAATTATTTCCATGCACTAGCTTCTTTTAAGAGAGAGGGGTTGAAATCAAACGCATTTAAATTAATCAAATTGTGCCAGGCTCTAATGAGAAGCCTGTCCTGTCTCCTGTGTGTCCATGCAGCACACGAGGAGGGGGTGTATGTGTGGTGGGGGGGGGGGGGGGGGGGGGAGTGCGCCAAATTTGTTTGCGGCGGATCAAGGCTCACCGCCTCCACTGCACTTTCTTTATCTTAATTCCAACTTGAAAAGATATAATTATCTAGTTTGAACAGGACTGCTATCAAATCCTTCTTTATAGGCAGGGTAGGGAAAAGCTCGAGTGGATTGTGAAGCTCTGAGCCGCTCGGTGTTGCCCGAGATAGGAGTAATGAAGTTGTGGAGTCCGGAGATACAAAGGGCATTAACCTCATTAGCATGAAACCTTTTCTTCTAACTATTGTGGGACCCTTTCAGTCCTCTAATCCCCCCTATTTCAAAGCTGGGTTTGTAATAAAGCTTTTAGGGGTTTTTTTCTCCAAAGCTAATGGTATTCTCTATAGATTTTTATTGCTGTTATAATCTATGGGCCGATTAAGAATTCCCTATATGCCATGTCCCCCCTCCTTCCTAACCCAAACCACAAAAACACCACTTTTTACTTTATGAAACAATTAAACAAACACGTGCACCTCCGCGAGAAACACCGAAGTTAGGTTAGTTCGCGAGGAAACAAACAAAAACCATCATAATCTAGTTTCAATTTGTTAAGATTTCTTTCTGCTTTCGTGGTTTTGTTGTTTGGTTTGTTTGTGTTTAAATGAGAAATCGTTTCCTGCATCTCTTTCTCTTTTTTAATGCGCCCACGGACTCCAAAAAAGAAGTCCTGTAATGTTTCCGCTCGGTCCAAAGCAGCAGCTTGCAGCACGATTGGAGCCTAAAAGACAAGATTTTAAACAAAGATCCCATTTTTTGCGGCACATTGCAACCTTCCCTTATCGCGTCGTGAGGGGTAGTCAGATTGTACTAAATTATGTCCAACCAAGCCCCCCTTGGATCCGTGGATTAAGAGATTAAAGTGGACCACTGGGCAATGCATCCCCTTTCCCCCCTCATATTACTCGCATGATAATTGCCCAAACTGATTTGCACTTTCACAAAAGCTTGTAGGGACTCTTTGTAGCCGGAGCGGAGCAGACGCTGCAGCTCCTGGAGGAAAAAAAATGCTTTCTATGTCAGACTGAGAAACAAATGCAGGGCTGAGGAAAACAAATTACATGCTGCAGAATTTTTCCTCTCTTTGTTTTTTAAATCATCCTATAAACGCCACATCAGCGCGCCTCGCTGTGCGCTAAATGATTGCGCATTTCCGAAAAAAGAAAAAAAAAAACCTTAAGGTTGCTTTCCGTAATCAAAAGCCTATACTTTTACTGCGCGCGACATATTGATAAAACTTTATTGACAAAATATTGACAATTACATACTTCTTGGAAGTATACTTTGTGTTAAAATTGTAGCAAACTTAACACAAACACAAAAAGTATTTACATTCTGTAAAAGCGGGTTTAACAGAAACATTAACTTTTTTTTTAGCATTTCTGTACATGGAATAACGCTCAGTGCTTTTTTATTTTTGCTCTCTCTCCTGTCTTTGTCAATTCTTGCTTTTTAGTCCTTCGTTGCAACTTTCACTGGAGGGTCAAGTCCTGACAGAAGCCTGTGTGGGGGCCACAGCGACACATTGGTAAAGCTTTAGGTTAAAGGAATGTCCTGATACCTTCCCTTTAAGTACTTTGTCTGTGGTCTGATTCACTTATTTTTTATTTTTTTTATAGAAAGATGTCATTTTTTCACCGAAATTCCACTTTTCTTTCCTTAAAAAAAATTAAAAATAAACACCATAACGCAGCACCGCTACTTCATATGTTTTCACAATCACTTTTACACGAGAATCATTAATTAAAGACTGCACACATTGTAAAAAGGAAGAAGCACGACATCTCTCTGTTTGAAAATAGAGTTAGAAACAAAACTGATTATTCCTCTTTTTTGTTGTTATTGTTTCTGTTTTTCCTTGGTTTGCGAAAACTCGTCAAATTAAAAACAGCTACCAGGAAAAAAAGAAGAAAAAAAAAAACTAGACCATGCATTTCAAGTTTTACAAAAAAAAAAAAAGCAGTTTGGTGTTTTGGTATATCTTACGTGGAAACGATTTTTTTTTTGTTTAAAAAAATAAGAGGAGGAAAAAATAATAATAAAAGCCTTCTGAAGTGCAAACGTCCAATGTGAGTTGGAGAAAAATATAATTAGGTGTTGGTTGTAGGTGGGGGAGGGTGGGGGAAGGGGGGTAGTAGTGGTGGTTGGTGCGAGAAAGGGTTCAGGTAGGTGGACTGAGACACTGTCGGTCACATTTCCCTGGGTCACTCGGACTGACAGACCCGCGTGGTGACAGCAGTGTCAGTCGGGCTTGTCTCACCCTCAGCTGCCGGTCTCCGGAGATCTGAAATGTGACATTGGCTTTGTACCCTCTCACTTGTCTCTACACGGCATCCTGTATCCATGTCCTCCTTCATTCAGGCGCATAGTCTTTATTTTAATCGTCCGAAGTGACATCAATTTCCTCCGGGCTCGCCTGTTTAGTCGCCAGTCTCCACCGGTTTATGTGATGCGATCCTTTCTTCTTCTGCTGAGACTCCGAGCCCTCCTCTTCCAACTTCTGTCTCTTGAACTTCGTCCGTCGGTTCTGAAACCACACTTTTACCTGCATAGAGAAGGGGGGGGGACCAGAAAAACCCGTATCAGTATCACGAGATAAACCGCGATTGGCCAGTGCGTAAAACCAAGCGTGAATAGGATAGCATGGCTAAAAACAAGCAGAGAGTTCAGCAGAAATAACAATAATTTTAAAAAAAAGGCAAAATGTGACCTACACCTAAGGAAACAGCAGCCAGGATAAACAAACATCAATTATAGTTCCAGTACAGCACGAATACATGCCATTAAAAATCATGTCATTGTTAATTACTCCAATTATTCTTATTAACTCACATAAAAAAGAGCGACTTCCGCCTTAAAAAGGTCAAACCCCAATTCTATTAACAATATAACAGGACAGAGTCTTTTCCACATCACGCCTTAAAATTATGGGGAGGGAAAAAGGAAAATGAGACAAGGAGCTGTGACACAAATAAAATATTTTAATAAATAAGGTTCACTACTGTTTTAATGCGCGCAGAAACTTTGACGCCATACCCAAAGTAGGTCAGAAACGTATTTAATTTTTTTAGATTTTTTAAAACAAAAATGTCAGCATGTGGATGTGAAGAGAAATAAATGTCTCTGAGGCACGTTTAACATATATGTCCACACGCTCCTCTAAGTGGATTTGTTAATAATCGGTACCGTGGGGGGAATTAACAACATCTAAATCGATAAATTATCTGTTCCTGTTTTGTCGCTGTGCAGCCCTTTCAGCTCTTTAATGGCAACCGAGGTGCGTTTAATAAGCCTTCAGTGGGCTAATTGAAGTAGGTGACGGTTCATTTCTCCCTTCAGCTCCTCCAAAAGGCCCCGCCGTATAAAGGAGACACAGCGGACAAAAGACAGCAGGCTGATGGGCTCAAACAGCATCTTAAATATGGCAGGGGGAATTCATTGAACCCGCCTCGCTCTTTGTATCTCCTACCCTATAAAATGGTTAACTGGTTAATTTGCCCTCCATTTTGAAAAGGCAACATTCTCTCCCCCCCACCCCACCCCAAAACAAAGTAATTCAACCCCCTCCTGGAATGAGGTTAGGCCTACACAATGACGATGGACTGGCTCCAGCAGAAAGCCTCTGTCTTCAAATGACAACGTGGAAACGGTGTGCCACCTGATAATTTCGCGTTATTGTTTGGCAAATGATAAGCAAATGATAACACCCCGCTTTAGTGCCGCGCGTAAATACGCACACGTTTTACAGGCCTGATTGAAGGCTCCATGACGCACGGTACCACGTTAAAAAAACAAACAAACACATAAAAAGTAACACACCGTCCTCCAGGACAAGCACCACGACACAGTCAGCTTCTATAATAATCAATAATAATCTCTCGAATTACTGTAAAATGAAAGTGAGGATTTCCTAAAAGCCAAAAACACGACACGACGCGCTGAGAAGCAGCACTGAAACAAAAAACACACACGACGTGAGAGCAGGTGAGTGGAGAGAGAGAGGGCGGAATGTCGAGTAAAATCCAGTGCTTCTTACCTGAGTTTCTGTGAGGCTAAGGCTGTGGGCGAGCTGCTTTCTTTCTGCTCCCACCACATAATGGTTTTTCTCGAACGCGTGTTCGAGCCGCAGGAGTTGCGAAGGTGAAAACGCTGTCCGGATTCTTTTGGGCTTTCTGGCCAGCGCGTTGTGCAAAAGGAAGCTCTCTGGACTCGTTTCATTACCTGGAAGCGAGCAGAAAGTGAGGATCCTCAGTGACGTATTCAAATATATATGTATATTTTATAAGATGTTAACTATTCCATAAGAAACAACAGGCCTGGGCGCAGCTAGAGGACTGCAGTCTCCCGAGGGACTATAAAAGGACGATAATAAAGTCCAAAAAGAAGCTGGACATTAGTCAATAAAAAGCCACACGCCGTATTTATGAAAGTGTGTGTGTGTGTGTGTGTGTTTAAATTAATCATTACTGAAGGTTTCTTCTTTTAATATCTGTCAGTCCTTCCGTGTGAAGAGAAGAGGGAAACAAATAAAGCAGACGTATAATCCTGGACTTAATTAAATTAGCTTTTTGTGAACAAACTGTAAATCGACAACACACAAAACCAGCTTAGAAATTAAACTGAAAATACATTCTAGTAAAATAAAAAATAAAAAATAGCGCTGTCACTTGCGGGAAAAACAAACCAAACCAAATCAAACAAATAAAAATAATATTCAGTAATAATATTATTAATAATAACGATCACATAAAAATACCACAAATTCAGCACCCGAAATCAATAATAGAAAAGTTCTCAGGCCAAACCAACTTAAACAATAAATTTACAATTTACTCATATTTTGTCTGATGTCAGGTTCAGAAATTTAGAAACAGCATAATCATATAATTACACGTTTAGCTCAAATAAAAATGTATTTATTTCTTTAAAAAAACAAAACTAAAAAAACTAAAAAACAAAAAACCTGCTGTAACAGGTTTAAACCGCAGACTAGCGAAATGCTTTCATTGCGTTTCTGGATATAGATCATGCGCTATATATAACCTGCAGACTACCGGTGTACAAACATGTCAGAATTTCAATTCGTAAAAAAACAACAACCCGTTAACACATACTCCGAAGCTGCAGGCGTCCTCACAAGCCCAGCCATAAATATTTCTTTGTTACAGATTATTTTTCTTTGTCCAAAATCGAAGAAATTCGTTACGAGGTCATTTCTTTTTACAGCTGCGACACCTTTAGAAACTACTTTTGGCACTTAACGACGCTTCACTTTAAAACTGTTCTGCTACAGCTACAAATATATATTTATATTTTTTACACCACCTTGCTCTCAGCTTAACACAGTCTAAAAAACCAAAAAAAACCAAAAATGAAATAATAACAGAAAAGAAAATGCTACAGCCCGTAGTTGTTCGTGCGTAAAACTCATCCAAAGTCGAATACTTTGACAACTTACCTTGAAACCTGTGACCCAAGTACCTATATCTGTGTAATAACCAGGGGTAGAAAGTTGAGGGGTCTCTTTGCTGGCTGGCAAAAAGCGGGTGCGGACTGTGTGAGGATGAAAGCGGGTGAGCGGCCAGAGCGTGCGGCGGGGCCACCGGATGTACTGGAACGGTAGAGTTTGGCGGATGAGAGACCGCCTCGGCAAAAACCAAGTCCGGGTTAGAGTAGACGCCCCTGCCGCCGGAGTGAAAGCCGTTCAGAAATGGGTTCATCTGGCCGGAGTTTGCATAGCTGAGAGCCGCTGGCCTGATGGGCTCCTCGGAGCGGGACGCCGGTATCGGATTATCCTTCGCCACTAAAGACTCTATAGTAAAACACCTCTTGGGTGTAGGTTGAAACATGGTCTGATAGTCCAGATTCCCCAGTTTAGGTTAAAGTTGTCGTAGGCGCTCTTGCTTGAAAAATACTCCACACCCAAGGAAAAAAAGGGGAAAGTTTCTGCGCAGTAAACAAGTTGGGAAAGGGCGGCGGGCAGTGTCGAAGAAGCCAAAAAATAAAAAGTGCTCGGCTACTCCCAGACTAATCCATGGATGTGATCGTTTTCCTCGCCGGCTTCGTGCAGGCAGATTTGTTAGTTCATGAGCCTAATTAGCGCTGCAGCCCCATAAACAGCTTCCTCTGAAGGCTGTAATGGCATGGTGATTGGTCGCTGCCGCTGCTGCTCGCCTTAAGGTGGAGAAGGGGGAAGACGCTTAAAAAGTGCGTCAATGGGAAGCAGGGGCGCGGAGAGGCGGACTCGAACGCGCAACACGGAACGGATTCGTTCAGAGAAGAGCCCCCCGCGTGCACGCACACATGCCCGCACGCGCACATGTAGACACACAGACACATGCATCCACTCGTGCGCACATATCTCCAGGACATTTAACACATTCAACTAACCAGTAGAAAAGGTAGCCTGCTTATTTGCATTTAGTGTCTACGACAGGTTCAGGCAGATTTTTAAAGTGTGTGTGTGCTGTTACTACTAGAGGTGATTACTTTAAAATATGCAAAAACAATGTGGCGGCAACACATCAGCTCTGTTTGACTCTGTTTTTGGGATGCTAATGGTATGGAATAAATGGAATTTTTCAGCAGCCGCTTATTTGCGCCATTAGTCGGATTTAATTTATTTTTCCATATTTTCCTGTTTTCTTTATGTTTATTTATTTGTTTGTGACTGGACATTTGTAGAAAATTCTTTTTTTTCGTTGCTGCTTGTTTCCATTTGTCCCGATTCTAGGATCAGCATTAGTATGAGTTCTACACTGACACGCTTACATTTGTGCAGAATGGTTTGTCGAAGACGCAGACGCGCTTAAGCTCAGATTTAGAGGTGTTTCTGCTTTTTTTTTTTTATCTAGTGTGCGGGACACGATCCTGAAACAGTCAGTGTTCAGTAACGCTGTGTGTTAGACGGTGAGAGCTGTTTATTAGAGTAGTGTACCTGTGCGAGTGCGACCTGTCACCCCTGCATGCAGATCAGCGGCTGACGGCAGCAGCACGAAGCTGCAGCACAGCGGGCCTTCACAAAGAAATAATACACACTTGGAGTCCGCGCAGGCTGCTGACAAGTGAACTGATGCATCCCCGAAATGAGAAAATGATGTATTGCCTACCGACAGCCTACGTCCAAATGTTTGGAGATTATTTCATCATTTTATGCCTTTTTTTGTTTTTGTTAATTTTAATTTTAATTTTTTGGCCGCTGCTTGTAAAGCTGATACATGTTTCAAGGAAAGTTTCCAACCAAATACATATAATCAGAATAACTCCACTTATTATTATTATTATTATTATTATTATTATTATTATTATTATTATTACTCACATGGAGTTTAGGCTTTGCTCATTTATGCGGTTAAGGGTCCCTGAAATTAAATGTGGTCTATAAAAATATACTGGAGCACTGAATGGGCTTCTCAGCGCTATCAGAGCACCAACATGCCCACACACATACACCATCTTGTTTAAGATGTTAAAAAACACATTCCAGTTTATTATTTTCAATACCTGGAGGAATCTCCCAGAGGTGGATAGTTTTTTATTCAATTCGCTTATATAGTTCAGATAGAGGCTTTTGGTTTGCATTAAATATCAGCCTATTATTATTACTGTTATTATTATTACTATTACTTTTTTTATCATCATCATCATTATTATTATATAGTAGCTCAAATCGGGGAGCCAAATTCAAAATGCCAACGCAGTTTTGTTGTTGGGACAACAAACTCCCGCCCTGCTGAGGGTGTTTTCTTACTTTATAGCTCCAGCAGCATGTTACTGGTTTTGTAATTGCCTCTTTTCTGACCACCTTCTGCTTGTTTATATTTTTCCTGAGTTTTATACCCTCAGTTAACTGATGATCTTAGGCACGAACCAACACGTTTCCAGTTTTCGGATGTAACGAGTCTTCTTTCTGGTGTTTTACCGACCTCTAGTGGTTACAGAAAGAAAGGCTTTACAAAGTTCAGATCGCCAGCGTCGTACGGTTGTAGCCTCCACAAGCAGTTTTGAATTATTGTTATCTTGTTTGCCAGGCCAGCAGTCTGACCGCTCCTAAATATTTGGGCATACATGTTTCAGTTTCCGCCTCAAGGTAGCCAAGAAGTTCTGGATTACGATGCAGCATCCCCATGTGTTGTTGTTTATACATTAGCAGTGATACTGCAGTGATGTGGGATTAATTTAGAAACCAGAAACCAAAATCTAAATGACAAGCTTCATCATGTGCAAGTATCAACATAGTTGCTTTACTCATTTAAATTAAGTATTAAAACGCATTTGCAAGCAGGCTTTATTTCTAAAACGTATGTTCATAAGGTTATCTGTGGCTGTATTGATCTAAACTAGGCAAAGCTGAGGACAGCATGCTTTAACATTTTTTAATATCCCATTGAAGACAAAGAGAACATATGCCTGGTGAGCATTGTCTTTATTAATAAAGGCTTTATCTGTACACATGCAACCTGGTGTGATACCATTGATTGCAGCAAGATAGAAGCACGCACTGGATATGAAGCCAGACCATTTCAATACTCTATGCATGCACAAAATGTAAATTCCACTAGTTCTTTAACAGGTTAAAAAGCATCTCATATTAGATGGAAGAGCTGAAATAACTGAAGCAGGTGACACGATTCCTAGTCACCATCAGCCATTAGAAGAGTTGTAGATCTGTGCCATAACATCTATGCAAGGTACAGTCATAAAAGAGGCAGTTGGTGGTACACTGAGTTTGCATTGAATATTGTAGCAGGTTCACTGGTTTGCATGTAGGTCGGATTAACTTCACTAAGGTAAGAACATTTCCAACCACTGGGGGTTACAGTAATGCTTCACTGAAACCTAAGTGAACACAAGTTCATTGGTTAATGGTGTTTAGAAGGTGAGGAGTTTCCAGTTCAAAACTGCAGGTCAAAATAAAAAACAAAATCACTTCCCAGGAAACTACATTCTACAAATACTCAAATCAAAGGTATTTTTTGGCCACCAATGAAACACTGTGGCCGACAGAGTGATGTGGTATTTATGATTATTATAATTATTATTATTTTAAATCATTTATTGATTGAGCCATGAGCTGAGGTTTAGCGGCGAACGGTGGTCCAGCCATCATCATCTGTCTCGTTTTTGGTGCGGCGAAGGTTTTCTTTGTCAGTACGCCAGCCCTTCTCTCCATCAGTGTCACGATCACGGTCCCGTCCCGGTTCTCTGTTTCGGTCTCTGTCGCGCTCCTCACGTTTATCCTCACCTGCACGACGCCAAGAACCACCTGTGGGGAACAAAGATGTTTCGTAGAAAATATTCCAGCAACGGAAGTTTTTATGTTTTAACTTTGGAAGTTTCGTGTGTCCAAAGTGGATGATTTCTTTAAATTTAAAAAAAAAAAAAAAAAAAAAAAAAAAAAAAAAGCTTATGTAGCAGAGCATGTATCAATGGGTTTGCAGTGCCCTCTGCTGGCTGAATAAGTTATCTTCACGTTGAAATTTTTGACAGTCAGAAGATGAGCTCAGTGGATTGAGGATGGAGAGTTGGATCAGGGACACCAGCGTCTACAGCGTTTTAAATCTCTCAACTGTGATTACTTTTTATTTGATTTCAGGAAGATAAAAACCATGGTGATGTTGTGCACATCAGTTTTCTTTTAACATCTCTTAACAAAAGTGTTTGGGAGCAAACCATACTAGTTTTGGAATCAAAATGTTCTCCATTCAAGCTTGATATTGGATTATTATTAATAAAAGCAGAGCTTAAATTATTGGTAAATCTATGCAGTTTTTTTTTATTGTTTATTTACATTTCATACAGCAATTTTCTGAAACAAAGTTACCATTTGTGCATAAAATAAATTACTTAGATCACACTTACTGAGATCAAACCCAGCAAAGACACTGAAAGCAAGTCTAAAACATGCTCTGCTCACCATCATCAGGATCTCTGGGTGGGCCTCTGTTGTCACGATCATCACGGCGATCTCTATCACGAGGGTCTCTATTGCGGCGATCATCGCGGTCACGTCGGTCGTCTCGATCGCGTCGATCGTCTCGATCGCGTCGATCATCGCGGTCTGCCTCCTCTCTGCGAGATTCTCTCCAGCTGCTTCCCTCATCAGTACCCCCTCTTCTCCAGATACCATCCTCTCTGTGAACGCACAGTGACACCAATTAGAAACTCTGCCAACAACTACCTGAAAAGCAAATTGTCACATCCTCCACGGTGCTACGAATAACTCAGCATACAGGCATAGATCTATTAGCCCCACCTGTTTGGACGACGGTCTCTGTTGCGGTCGCTGGATCTTTCGTCTCCTTCGCCATCATCTCCATCATCATGGGGGCCACCCCGGGGAGGTCCCCAACTTTCCTCTCTGGCCTTCTCTCGCTCACGCCACCCCCCTATATCAGAGGTGTTCATTATGATCATTTTATTAAGACTTGACATTTAGGCACAGACCAGCTGCCTGGCTGTTGGATAACAAGACTTTTCTATTATTTACTGATAGCCAATTGGCTACAGACTTACCAGGTCGGCCAAGTGGTTTCCAGGGTTTGGCGTCATCACCACCACGATGTGGCCCATCATCCATACCTCTTCTTCCAACTCTGTCATCATCTCCTCTTCTGGGGCCCCAGTCGTCATCAGCTCCACGCCTGGGTCCCCTGGAGTCATCCATGCCTCTACGAGGACCTCTGTCATCATCAAAGCCACGTCTAGGACCACGGTCGTCATCTCCACCACGCCTTGGACCACGATCATCGTCGAAACCTCTGCGTGGACCACGGTCATCATCCAACCCTCTGCGAACAGGGCGGTCTTCATCGTCACCACGGCGTGGGCCTCGTTCATCGTCAAAGACCCTACGGGGACCTCTGTCCTCTCCGCTTCTACGAGGACCATCTCGTCTGAAAGGTAACTCTTTCTCCTCCTTGTCATCGTCCTGTCTCCAAGTCCTAAGGAGCACACAGTTGTTGTTAGAGAAGCCATTCCTAGCTGAGTCGGCATTACAAGAAGAAAAGCAGGAACTAAGTGTTGGTGACACACACCTGTCTGGTGCAGGACGACGCCACTCTGAATCCCCACCCTCTGTGCGTCGTCTCCATCCTCCATCCTCCTTTTAACAGAATCACATGATACTTCAAAATTACTCAGTCCTGTAGACCATATTATCCTTACACAGCCCATCCCAGCCATCTTGGGGTAAGCAA